GAAGTTCTACTGTATGTATAATGAATGGCATATAGAATGAAGACTCCTTTGGCCTTATGTTGATCAAAAAATGCCAAAACATGACACTGCTGTATTTTCAAATGACTAACAGGAGAAAACAACTCCCTACAAGAATCTCCTACACCATCTTCATTGCAAAATCTTCCTGAAATTCTTCACCTGTGGAACACCATGCAGACCATTCTCTTTGACCTGCTTTAATGTCATGCCATCTGCAATGTTGGAAAGAAAATATAATACAGCTGTTGCAGAGCAGAGTTGTCTGGCGATTTGAAACAACCAAAGATTCCAGCCCATATGTTCTTTTGATGTCCTCTCTATTGCAATCTTTATAACTCCATTTTCTGACAGAAATTCCATATTTTCTCTTTCACACACATATCTAACATGCATACAAATATATATGATTTTTTATTGAAAGAATAAACATATTAAGAAGTTGACGTTAAAATGGGAAGAATTAAAATTGTCATTATTAAGGAAGTATTGTTGAAAAATGAATAACTACTGAAATGAAGAAAAATGCGAAAGAGTGTTCTTTTGCATTTTTAGAATGTGCCTGATTTCTAAGAAGGCTGGAAATCACACTGGATAGTCTCCAATGAGGGTGGGGGCAGATGTGACCAGCTTGGCTTCAATTTGTTTTGTCCTAGGGATGAGCAAAACAACTGAGAGGTGTGGTGTTTTTTCTTCTTGTTGTTTTCTTGTTTTGTGGAGGGGAAGTGGCTCCTGAAATCAGTGTATTGTCACTGTTTGAAATCAGGAGTTGATCATTGTATATGAACTTTGCAAAATCAATAAGTCAAACTATTAAAAAACAAATCATGTAAACCCAGTTTCAAGGAACAATAACATGGGATCAATTATGGAGGTAGTACAAATGATATCACTTTGCCAAGATTTTTCATCCATCCATCCATCCATCCATCCATCCATCCATCCATCCATCTATGTGTAGCATTTATTTTCTATGGACTTCATAGGTACTCCCCCTTCACTGCAATACAATATTGCAAATAACTGGGACTTTCATGCCTGCATTTAATTATCTTGTTCATCCTTGCTGCTTTGAGGCTTGCTCTCAAATCCCATTATTGCTTGGTGTCAAGTAGAGTTTTTTTTTTTGTTGTTGCTTTGTTTTGTTTTAGGAGACATGACAAACTAACTGTTCCTTCTTGTTCAAAGTCCCTCAGGGCCTGGGAGTTGGTGGTTATCTCAATAGTAATAACAAGTATAAACATGAAGACATGACAAAATCTATAATCAGAAGACAGGGAGAAATCTCAAATAGATCAAAATCTGTTAATAACTGCCCCTGGAACATCTCCATCTGCAATTCCACTTAGCTACTGCTTGACCGCATGTGATTTTTATCTCAAAGTCTGAGCTTTCCAATTTCTCTATATAAACAGAAATAAAATATAAAGACAAGTACAGAAACAGGCAGCAACTATTTCTTTTGGACATAAGTTAAAAATCTAGAAGGACAAGACGAGCTGGAACAAGGTGACACACATTGAAGAATGAATTGTTTTCTTCTATGTATTATGTCCATAACATTCCTATCAATGCTTTGTCTACAAGGAATGTGTCACCTTTCTCATAGTAAATGCAGCACTACAGATCCTCTTCCTATTCTCCACAAGCAATACCAGTCAGGGGACATCCACTTTGCTAGCATCATTTCTCAGATCTTCCTGTTTTACACGATGATGGACTTTAAGGCACCTCCTTCTAGCAAACTCTTTGAGGAAAGTATGTAAGTATTGAGTTATGGCCAGAGAGATATATGTCAAATAAACCTGAAGATGAATGAGTGAAATCAGTGAGTGAAAATTCATTATTTGAATTGTATTATTCGTATAACACAACAACTGTTATGCTGATGTCTTGCATCAAATTCATGAAAGTATTCAGTTATGGTCAGAGAGATATATGTCAAATAGACCTGAAGGTGACTACGTGAAAGGGCATTGTATGAATTGTATTATGTAAATGATATAGTTACATGTCTGCTGATAGTTTGCATTAAATTCACCATGTAGTTTTGAGTCATACGTAGAGCATGAAATAATTGCTGGCTATATGTGTTATATCAGTGTATTTACAGTATCTCTGCATATGCATAAACATTTTATGTACTTTGCATATTTGGTGACTTTATCTGCTTCATTGATGTTGGATCATCAAATGCCAAGCAAAGAATGTTAGAGAATGGATGTTTCTTTCTGTCCAGTTATGTCTTTGTCATTGTTCCCCACCCTTATATTTCACCAAAATTAGGTTTGGTCTATGGAACCCAGGGCCTTCTCTTTGGAGATAATGTACAATATACTTTCTTTAATTATATTTTTGAATATTCATATTTATACAAATGGTGCTGCTTCTTTCACAATGACAAAGCTCCATGGTGGGAGTTGAGACCCAAGGTTCCTTCCTTAGTAACTTCTTTGGATGAGCATCCTAGCCTAATCTAACAAGTAGCACTGTCCTAGTCTTGCCATGTAAGTATTTCCAGAGAAAAGATGGAATTGAAGAAAAGGTGGAAAAAGAACTCCATTATAGATCCCATCAGCAACTCTCATAAAAAAAGATACCCAAGAGATTGATGTTCACTGTTGCTTCCTGGGTCAATAGTGAAGGCATCACTGATATGCCAATAATACTGTGCTAGAATAAAAAAATTGAGATACTTGGCCAAAGAGCTAAATCTCATGGCCACTATATATTTCCAATAAAGTGCTTTGATTATTTTATTAGCTTAAATAAGTGCAATGAATGAAACTTTTTTTTATTAAAAAACAAACTTTATTAAACATAAAAAGATAAAATACCATATCGAGTATATACAGAATACATTTATATTAATCCGAACATCATTACTTACTCACAACAAAAGTAGAAAAAGAAAATCAAACAAAACAAAAAAGGGAAAAAAAATGTAGGAAGTGACTTTGTCACTTTATCACATCCTTTATCTTGTTGAGGGTGCCTATTTGTTAATTTTATTCTCTTACAGAATTTTACTTTAACTCTCCTTTTTTTTAATTTATCCAGTCGTACCATCAATTGCCAACTGATCAACTAATAATCCAAAAATTTTACAATTGTGCGGAAATGGATAAATTAACATTTGAGTTAAAAGATAAGGTAGACTCAAAATACTACACGGCATGGAATAGATGGTATGGCAATGAATGAAACTTATTGCTTGTTACATATATAGACTGGATCAACTCCTTATATTATAGTATATTTGAAAGGAGAGGCTAAATAGATATCATATTCTGCAAGAAATGAGTTACAGCAAATAATGTACCTCTCTCTTCAGGGTCATAACCCAGATTTACCAACATATTCTGGCTTTAGTATTTGCTGTTAAGGAGATCAATACTAATCCCCATATTTTACCCAATGTTACCCTGGGCTTTCAAATCTATAACAGCCATTTTAATCCAAAATGGATGTACCATGCTACAATGGAACTCCTTTCTTCTAAAGGCAGATTAATTCCTAATTACAACTGTGACATTCAGAAATATCCAGTAGCAATGATTGGAGGACCTGACACTGACGTATGTCTTCATGTGGCCATCATTCTACACATCTACAAATTTCCTCAGGTAACCATGTATGTGGAGTATGGATACAATCCAGTTAAATTTCTCAATTTATTTAAATAAGACTTGATCACTGGCATACAGTAAACACTGACTGAAATCAAGAGGAACATTTTTCTTTCAAACTTCTTTTCAAATCTAAGAAACACTCTTGTTAATAGTTGGATGTTCCATGTTAACTGGACGAGAAAGTTTCTGGTGCACCAAATGTTATTGACTGAATTCACAAAGTAATTTAATATCCAGAGCTTAAACAATAGATTGAACTAAACGTGAAGGTTTATACAGGAAAGGAAGCCCCAAAGAAATCAAAGCAAAATTGAGGCTATATATATATATATATATATATATATATATATATATATATATATATATATATATATATGCATATTCTTTCTAGCCAGGTTTTACCTACGTAAACTAAGTTGTTCTGCAGCCCTAGTTGCAACTTAGTTTACGTAGGTAAAACCTGGCTAGAAAGAATATGCACATAAAAGCCTACGAAAAAGAAAAAGACATATATACATATACATATATGTGTGTGTGTGTGTGTGTGTGTGTGTGTGTGTGTGTATGATAAATGCCAAATCTAAACCTGTTAATATGTAATGGAACTAAACTTTTGCTTTGTGTACTATAATGAAAAATATACATTAATGCACTTTTTAAAAAATCAAAGCCTATTGTCTCCTTTCTGAATCCTTCTGCATTTTCTATAGTTTATGTATGGCTCTGCTCCAGTGACAAATAAGGACAAAGAGGCTGGTTTCTATCACCAAATGTTTCCAAATACGGACCTTCAGTATAAGGGAATTCTTCAGCTACTGCAGAATTTTAAATGGACATGGATTGGGGTTGTAACTGTGAATAATGAGAATGGGGAGAAGTTTGTACAAAATGTGGTTCCCATGTTTGCCCAAAATGGGATCTGTTTTGACTTCATTGAAAGATTCCCATTTGCTTCTTATTTGACTGATATTGTCAATATGGTGGAAAGAGGGATGAAAATATACCGCACTGTCATGAAAAGCACCGCCAATTCGGTGTTAATTCAAGGCGAAATTGACATAATGATAATTTTGAGAATCTTTCCCTCAATGTTAAAATTTGAAGAGATACCAATACAAGGAAATAGTAAAATCATAATTATGACAGCCCAAATGGATTTCACATCTCTTCCTTTTCAGAGAGGGGAAGACCTAAATTTTCTCCATGGTGCTCTATCCTTTGCAGTTCATTCAAGAGAGGTCGTAGGATTTCAGGAATTTCTTCAGACAAGAAAACCAAACTTTAATGAAGAAGATGACTTTATTAGGGTTTTTTGGAAGGAGGCATTTGGATGCGTGTTCTCAGGCTCCATGGTTGGTGAGAAGAGTATCTCCATAATGGACAGTCCATTGATATGCACTGGGGAGGAGAAGATAGAGACCCTCCTTGTATCTGTTTTTGAAATGGACATGACTGGCCACAGCTATAGCATCTACAATGCAGTCTACATTTTGGCACAAGCATTACATGTTGCTTATTCAACTACCTTCAGAAACAGAGCAAGAGTAGGCAAAGTAGGAGTTATTGAACTTCTCCAACTTCATCCATGGAAGGTAATGTCTCACGTCATAGGGGTTTCTACTCTCCATTATGTTAACATAATGTTATGTTATGTCTGACATTGTTGTTGCTAGTTGCAAAGTGATGTCCGACCCATTGCGACCCCATGGACCACATTCCTTCCTGTCCTCTACTGTCCTCTGGAATCCATTTAAGCTCATACCTACTGCTTCAGTGACTCCATCCAGCGACCTCATTCTCTGTCGTCACCTTCTTCTTTTGCCCTCAATCGTTCCCAGCATTAGACTCTTCTCCAGTAGGTCCTTTCTTCTCATTAGGTAGCCAAACTATTTCAATTTCATCTTCAGGATCTGGCCTTATAAAGAGCAGTCAGGGTTGATCTCCTCTAGTACTGACCAGCTTGATTGCCTTGCAGTCCAAGGGACTCACAGGAGTCTTCTCCAGCACCATAGTTCAAAGGCCTCAATTCTTTGATGCTCAGCCTTCCTTATGGTCCAAATTTCACAGCCATGCATTGCAACTGGAAAACCATAGCCTTGACTATACACACTTTTGTTGGCAAGGTGTTGTCTGACAAACAATTGTATAAATTTGTCTCCATATCATTGGATGGCCAGGTAATATGCTAGTATGCCATTGAGAATTTATCACAAAATGGAGACAAGTCCCTTCCATTAAGATATAACCTACATGTAATATACTTTCTTTTCCATGTTTCTGAAATGGAGGTAGGCTTTCATCATGGAAATTTAACAGATCCTGATGAATTGTTTGTCCTCTCCCTTTATTCTTTGTTTCTGTTTTGCAGCTCAATCAAATAGTAAGAAGCATCTCATTCAATAATACTGCAGGAGAAACATTATCTTTCAAACAAAACGGAGAACTAAAGGCTGGGTTTGATGTCATCAATTGGGTTACATTCCCAAATAAATCCTTTTTGAAAGTCAAAGTTGGTGGAATAGGATCTGTGACTTCCCAAGAGGACAGGTTAAAAATGGATGAAGCCATCATTTGGCCAAGCAGGTTTAACCAGGTTTGGATAATGCGGAATTCAGTTACTGCTTTAACTGAATAGATGTGAGCTGTGGGACAATTCCTGTGATTCCTATGTCTGAAATACTAAAAGATATGCCTGGGGAAACCTATAATGATTGATGTTATAGAAAGGGAGGTTTAATTGCCATATAGTACTCCTGCAAGTTAGAAGAAGAAAAAATGCCTTTAGAAGTGATGTAATAACCATGTCAACAAAGCTTTTACACATTTAGACAGTGCTGAAAAGGTAACAATTTAATTGTAACCAAAATAAATCCCCAAAATTAGGAGAAATAACCCAATTTATTCCATAAGAACCTCTTAATTATGTGCTGGAAGAAATATCCACCTGGTTCAGTTCCACGGTGGGAGAAAGAAACTGGAAACATGGAAGCTGATTGGAAAGATTGTTTAATGATGAAGCAGAACCACCAAGCATATTTATTTATTTATTTATTATATTATATTATATTATATTTCTATACCGCCCTTCTCCTGCGGGACTCAGGGCGGTGTACAGCCAGGATAAAACATAGCATATAAAATTTAAAAACATTTTAAAAAACAATTAAATAATTTTGGCCCGAATTTAAAATAACCCAATTAAAACCGAAATTTGATTAAAAAACTGAGAGGATGGGATCAAGCCAGCCCAGCTAGATGGAACAAGTGTGTCTTCAGGGCCCGACGAAAAGTCCGGAGGTCAGCTATCCTGCGTATCTCAGGGGCAGGTTATTCCAGAGGGCAGGTGCTGCCACAGAGAAGGCTCTCCCCCTGTGGGTCGCCAGCAGGCACTGCCTGGCCGACGGCACCCTGAGGAGGCCCTCTCTGTGTGAGCGAACCGGTTGGTGGGAGGCTATTGGCGGCAGAAGGCGGTCTCGCAAATACCTGAGCCCTAAGCCATGGAGTGCTTTCAAGGTGGTTACCAACACCTTGAAGCGCACCCGGAAGACCACAGGAAGCCAGTGGAGCTCATGCAGGAGAGGTGTTATATGTGAGCGCCCCGTCGCTCCCATAATCCCCCGCACGGCCGCATTCTGGACCAACTGCAGCCTCCAGGTGCACCCCAAGGGGAGCCCCATGTAGAGAGCATTGCAGTAGTCCAGGCGGGAAGTGACGAGTGCTTGAGTGACCGTGCGAAGGGAGTCCCGATCCAGAAAGTGATGCAACTGGCGTATCAGGCGAACCTGATAAAATGTCCCCCTGGCCACGGCTGTCATATGCTCTTCTAAAGACAGCTGTGCATCCAGGAGGATGCCTAAGTTGTGAGCCCTCTCCGTGGGGGCCAGTGATTCACCCCCAATAGCCAGCGATGGCACCAGCTGGCTATATCGGGATGCTGGAATCCACAGCCACTCGGTCTTGGAAGGGTTGAGTCGGTGCCTGTTTCTCCCCATCCAGGCCCACACGGCCTCCAGGTACTGGGACATCACTTCAAGGGCATCGTTGGGGTGGCCTGGGGTGGAGATGTACAGCTGAGTGTCGTCAGTGTACTGATGGAACTCCACCCCAAAGCCGCGAATGATCTCGCCCAGCGGCTTCACATAAATGTTGAACAGAAGGGGCGAGAGGACCGACCCTTGTGGCACCCAACAAACAAGGCGCCTCAGGGTTGACCACTGCTCCCCTGTCAACACGGATTGCGACCAGTCAGAGAGGTAGGAGGAGAACCACCACAGAACGGTGCCCCCCACCCCCACCCCCTTCAACCTGTGCAACATGATACCATGGTCGATGGTATCAAAAGCCGCTGAGAGATCTAACAGGACCAGGATAGAGGAGCAACCCCTATCCCGAGCCCTCCAGAGATCATCCACCAACGCGACCAATGCCGTTTCCGTGCTGTGCCCAGGCCGGAAGCCGGACTGGAGCGGGTCCAGATAGACAGCTTCATCCAGGTACTGGGGAAGCTGCCACGCCACCACACTCTCAACCACCTTCGCAATGAAGCGAAAGTTGGAGACTGGACGATAGTTAGCCAAAATAGCTGGATCCAGGGAGGGCTTCTTGAGGAGGGGCCTCACCACCGCTTCTTTCAAAGCAGCTGGCATTACCCCCTCACTCAGAGAAGCATTAACAATCCCCTGGAGCCAGCCTTGTGTAACTTCCCGGGAAGCCAGTACCAACCAGGAGGGGCACAGGTCCAATAAACATGTGGTCGCGTTCAGCCATCCCAGGATCCTGTCCACTTCCTTGGAAGCCACAGGATCGAACTCCTCCCAGATAACACTCTCAAGACCTGCCTCAGTCATCCCGTCTGGACTTACCCAGTCAGAGGCCAGGCCTTCCCGAATCTGAGCAATCTTGTCATACAGATACTGCACAAAGTCCTCAGCTCGACCCTGCAAGGGATCATCCCGCGCTTCCAGATGGAGGAGGGAGCGGGTCACCCTAAACAGGGCGGCTGCGCGATTATCTGATGACACGATAAGAGCAGCAAAATAGCTAGATTTCGCCGCTTTTATCACTAGGTAGGTAGGTCTTAATATGAGACCTCAGCAGTGTTCGGTCGGATTCGGAGCGGCTGGTCCTCCACCTACTCTCCAGGCGTCTTTTCCAGTGATTCATCTCCCTCAGCTCCTTGGAGAACCAAGGAGCTAGGTGAGTTCGGTGCCGGGTCAGAGGCCACAAAGGCACGATGCGGTCCAAAGCCCCAGTGGCCGCACCATCCCAGGCGGCCACCAGGTCTTCAGCCAAGTCATGAGCCAGAGTCTCAGGAAATGGCCCAAGCTCAATCTGGAACCTATTAAGATCCATCAGGCGCCTGGGGCGCAACCACCTGGTCGGTCCCGCCTCCCTGCAGCGAGGTGCAGCAGTTAGAAAGTCCAGTCGAAGGAGCGAGTGGTCAGACCATGACAAGGGTTCGATGACTATATTCCCTGTATTGAGGCCACTCGACCACTGACCAGAGACAAAAATTAAGTCCAGAGTGTGTCCACCTATGTGAGTAGGGTCATGAATTAACTGAGTAAGGTCCATGGCTGTCATGGAAGCCATGAACTCTCGAGCCACATCAGACGCTTCACCGATAGATGGCAGATTGAAATCCCCCATGACTAAAAATCTGGGGGTACCAACCGCCACCTCGGCAATAACGTTGAGCAGCTCGGCAGGGCCGTTGCCATGTGACAGGGAGCCAGGTACATGATCAACAAGCCCCTCTGTACTCCATGGCCCCACTTCACAAAAAGGGACTCACATCCGGCTATCTGTGGAATAGTGGTCTCCCTCGGATCAAGACCTTCCTTTATAATAACCGCCATGCCCCCGCCCCGCCCCTGGGCTCTCGGCTGATGGAATGCACGGAAGCCTGATGGGCACATCTCTACGAGGGGGACTCCCCCCTCCTGGCCCAGCCAGGTCTCCATAATACCTGCCAGGTCCACTCCCCCCTCTTGAAAAAGATCACAAATAAGGGGGGCTTGATTTACCATGGACCTGACATTGCACAACAGCAGCCGAAGGCTTGGGCCCTGAGAGACTGAACAGCCTGGGGTGCGAGAAGGGCTATGGGGACCGGGGCATGCCACCGCTTGAAGATAGCAAGTGCGTGCCCCCCCTACATGATACGGCCCCCTGCTCCTGCCATATCTGCCCCTCGCACTCAACACATTAATGGAAAAGCCCTCAACAGAATGGATTCTAATGTCCCCCTTACCCCCGGAATCCGCACCCTCCGTGGCCCCATTGACAGCTGGGCCAGACCCCTCCCCCCACAGGTTAACCCCAAAACCCACACAACCCTCCCGCCCCTTAAAATCCCTTAAAAAATTGGTTCTCTGGTGCAGCTGAACACATGGAGTTGAGAGTGATGGGTATTTATACCTACTCTTGGGCTTTGAACTTGAACTTTCTGTTCCTGTGCAAGAACATTCATTTTATTTTCTGTGTAGGGGACATAGCTCTGTAGGTTGTCTCAGGTTTTGTTGAAGTTTTCTGAGTGATACAAAGTCCTTAAGAGATTCTGCAATGTGGTGCTGCCAGTGGGTTAATCCTATTTTGTCCTGGACGGTTATGTCTTAATCCCATCATCCTGGAGCCGAAAGTCTTTTGTTTTGTAGATAGGATGGCCCAATCTCTCTTAATGGGCACAAAATATCTGCTGGGGGGAGAGAGTTTGGGCTGAGTTTCTGTCTCCCTTAAGATTTCTATTTCTCTCTTAGGGGAAATATTTTACCCTGTCTTTTTAAGTATTCCTCAAAATATTTCATTCTTCTAGGAGATGGGTGGGTACTAATTTTCTACATATGTAATCCATATCATTATGCAAAATATATCATCTTAACTCACAGCAGGAATTGCCATTGAATAGTTCTTGGTTTAATGTGGATAAAAGAAAGGAATCATACAGAGTCAGATACATGAGCTCTAAAGGACCCTCTCTATTCACATTATTATAAGGGGAAGACGTGCTTAGAACGTGAACTCTGAGAGACCCTCTCTATTCACATGATTAAAAGAGAGAAAAGTGCTTGCTTGGAGATTACATTAAAAGCAGCTAAACCCCATTAAGTGGTAATATATTTTCTGATGAGACCTAGATGTCACGGAAGGACAGCCATATGGAAAACATCTGACTGACCTCACTGTGAATGACACAAAGACAGATATTTTACAAAGAGTTACTTAATCCAATAAACTTACCTAAGGACAGCAGTAAATTTCCCATTAACAACCACAGCACTTAAGAAAAGTTGTCTAGCTAAAGATAATCTTATAAACTAAAAATAATGGTTTACTAAAGGTTTACTAATGAGGAAATGTGTCAATTATCATATGACAGGTGTGTGTTAGCCATATATGGAGAATGTATGATCTCATGTTAACTATATATGGAAAATGTATGATCTCACTGAATCCTTTGTTTTAGAAATGTATAAAAACAGAGATATCACAGCTCTTGGGTTGTTCAAAGCTGCAGGTACAAATCTGGCTCTGAACCTTGCGCAATAAAAGTGTCTTTGGCTGACCCAGGAATGTTGTTTGGTCCCTTCATTCTACAACAGGTTGATGGTATAGAAACTAAACCATTGATTTCTTTTAGTAGTAATTTACCAGAATACTAGAAAAGGCTATAGGAAGCTGAAAAAATACAAAGAAGACAAAGTAAACTATAGTCAATATAGTCAAATATATTTATTATTATTTATTTATTTATTTATTTATTTATTTATTTATTCGAATTTCTATACCGCCCTTCTCCTTTCGGACTCAGGGCGGTGAACAGCCAGATAAAAAACATCTATACAAACATCACGGTTAAAAAATAAAGTTAAAATAATTTATAAATTTGGCCC